CAATAGAAAACTTCTTAGGCAAACTTTTGAATTGCGTGAGAGAAATCAGAGATGATACTGCCCATTCTGTGCCATGCTTTGCTGCTTTAGATTCCCGAGTTTGACTCAGAGATTTAAGATTTTCACAGTAGGTGGTGAACAGTGTAGATTAAACTCGCTTCCTTTGTTGTTAAGTTGTGCCCCTAATAACTGCCTGTACCTTAAAGAAGCCAGCTCACATAATCTCAGTGAGCAGCTGTACGGAGCCGTGTTGCATTCCAGGAGCTGTGCTGCAAACACTTCTTGTAGTGTTTCTCCTTGCAGTGGTTTCTCACTGCTCTGTCAGACAGACTCATGTAGGATAACCTTCCACTGCCTTTTGAAAATAGAAACTAAACCAGGCAGGAATGGGGCATAATGGAAAAGCATTTTTGCTGGTTTGGTAGGTTTTCTCTTTTCTTTTGTTCAGATGGGATATGCTGTGGCTCAAGCTCTTCAGCCAGCATGTTTCACCTCAAAAATCCCCAAAGACCCCATGAAATGAGTATCCATGAATACCTTTCTGGACCACTCCTCCCCTGGTGGGCTTTAAGGCAGCAGCTGTTCAATTCAATATTTTCTTTTGATAGGAGGACATTGAGAAAACCATATCTAGTCAAAATAGCAGAAGGATTGTTCAGACAAAATGTAATTACAAAATGTAGGAAAAAAAACCCTTAAAACCATCATCGGTGGTTGGACTCAGTGATCTAAAGGTATTTTCCAGCCTAATGCTTCTGTTATTCTAAGATGTTCCTTCATGCTCACAAGTGATGGTTTTCTTTCCCATCCAATGTTTTATTTACAATGAAGTATAAGCAGTGCTTTGCCTTTGGTGTCTCAGGTCGAATTTGAGGTTCTCTGAAGACACATTCAGCTCCTCTGAAGCTGAACATGTGTGCAGTGGCTGTGGATGAAGCAGTGAAAACAATAAATAGCCACCAACAATAAACCAACCAAAATCTGTGAGCTTTTTGTAAATGATGCTGCTTACATAAGAACAAACAAAAAAGATGCCAACTTAATAAAAGAAGTTAAAACCAAACTATTTAAAGGAGTTTAGGTTCCTCTTTAAAATATTAAATAGGCACCAAGAAGTCTGTTACATTAATTCACTTTAATTCACTTAAATTAAAACTTATTTCTACAGTGTCACTGAGAGGTGTTTTAAAATGCTATTCCCATAATTTGTGCATGCAGTGCAGGAATATGTATATATAAAAATATATATAAAAAGAGGTAAATCTAAACAAAATTCCTGGTTGCAGTTGTCATCACACCAAGTTTATAAGTAATAACAGTACAAACCCATGTACCCAGGGCTCAGAATTAATTCTGCAGTCAATGGAATACACACAACTTACATAGCAAACATCAACATGGATTATGTCTTTTGTTATATTCTCTTGAAAGCAATTCAAAATGCAGGCATCTAAATAATACAGATAATTAATCATTTTACTGATGACTCTAGAAATAGAAAATGTTTTTACTTGGTTGAAAGCATCAATAGAGCTTTGAAACAAGAAAAGCAGATGTCAAATATAAAACCCTTGTTTTACTGAGCAACGAGTATGATAAACAGTGATTATTCATCTTGATGCTAAAGTTCAAAAACAATTGTCCCTTCAGTTTGCCTCATGGGAGTGTGAAATCAGGACCATGTGTGTGTTGATGAACAACATATGAAAGATGAATCATGATTGCTGTTTTGGTCTGCTGCACAAGACTGTGCTTGAGGGGCAGTGATTTCCTACCTCCTTTACCAGATTGCTGTAATTAGTGCTAGCATCTCTCTCTGTTTCCCAGTATTTATGTTCAAGTGGCTTGACAGTACCTAGTCACACATAAATTGGCTTTCTTGAATGAAAGAGTGTTTGCTCAATAGAAGAATGTTGGAGTATATTTCAATATTGTTTGTAGTGAAGATTAGTTATAGAACTATTCTGAAATCACTCATCCATCTCTATCACCAATGCTATCTCTGGCAGGAATTGCCAGATATGAAAAATACATGTTTCTTTCAAATATGAAACACTCTATGTTCTAGGTTAAAAAGAAGAGGGGAAAGTTCAATCAAATCAAACAGAGCTTTCATTTAATTCAACTGTATTTAATTTATGCCTCTGGTGGCAGACATTAGTTAAATTTAACTTTTCTTGGAGGCATAATTAGTTCCTGTGGTTACAAATTTAATTTTGGCTTTATTTCTGGATGTGTAATCCTAACTTTGTTCCTCTCTGGCCTGGTAATGGTGAGAGAGTTGTCATAAGTGCATTTCATTACTGAGCTGTTACTATAAATGGGGGTTGGGTATTAGAAAATATAAACAAAAAAGAATAGAGGCTAGCATAATATAATAGTCTTTGTCTTTTATTAATACTTCTGCTCTTTCATGTTGGAAGTTGAATGTTTAAATAAAAAGAAATGGCTGTACATGCCTTGAACATCCAGATGAGCTATTCATTCTTCAGGGGATGATGTGTATTGGTCTCATTTAGATCTGTGCTGCCTTGGGATATCTGAGGATCTTAACCTTAATTGTTCAGACTGTTTATACAGATTGAGGAACAGATCCAGCATTGATCTCTGTGATTTGAGGTGTGTGATGGAAATTCTTCCTGGCTTGCTTGGCCACTACAGATACAGGATTTGGATTTTAGCTTATCATGTTTTCTCTGTAGTTCTGTGCTTTGAGCACAGAATGTGAGATTTAATGTGGCTAATGCCTCCTCTGCTCCCCTAGATTTTTGACAAATAAGGTTATTTGTCAATATATTATATATGTCAATATATTTGTCAATATAATATATGTGTGCATTTCAACTTTGATTATCTGTTCAAAGATCAGTGGTCTAGAGTTCTTCATAAAAGATGTTTTGGCTGTTTTCTTTCCTGTGTACTTTTTCTCAGTCCACATGTATAGAGATATGTAGACCGCGGGGATTTTATAGGAAAAGCTCCAGGAGACAAAGAATTGTTTTCTAGTGAAGTTCAGAATAAATTCATTTAAACAAATGGAAATTCAACAAATGTTCTTGGTTAATTAATGATAAAATCACAGAATGGTTTGGGTTGGAAGGAACCTTCAAGATTATCTAATTCCAACCCCCCTCCCATGGCAGGACAATTAGCTAAGAATTCAGAGCCCTGAGGCCATAACATTAGTATTTATAGTTTGGAAGTAAGATGCTCTAAACAAGTTCTCCTAGCTATAAACCACCTAAATAGCACAAATTAATTCAAAACCAAGGGAGTACCTCCTGGAAGAATACATTTTTAAATTCACAGCAGTAAATCCTTGAGGGATAAATACTGCAGTTGAGCACGATGAAATTATCTGAGTATCTTACATGTTTTAACTTAAACTAAAATAGCAATTATTTAGTTCAATACTTTAGGGTGACCCTAATTCTCTCACTAATTACTGCAGCCTTTTTGTACCTATTCTACACTTGAGAGCAAATTTTTTGCCACTAGTAAGTGTTATGTGCTGCATAAATTCATCAGAGTTTGGCTTATGTTATGTCTGTCTTTGCATCTAAATTATCAATGCTTGTGGTATACTTATTTATGCTAATGCTGTTACATATTTGGTTATGTCACCATAATCCCAGCAGAAATGAAATTAAAGGAGAAGTGTTGCCTTTTTATTTTAGTATAGCATATAAAAATCTTATCTAATGAATAAAAATACATGTGCTAATTTTCTGTGCAGTTTAATAAAATTTATGTCTCCCAAAACTTCAGCTCTAGAATGAAAGGAAGACAAATATCAATTGATTTGATGGGTTATCTCCCTTTATAAAAAGTCAGTAGTTAGGTTTTTGTGATTTTTAAAATCAAATAAATAATGTCTTTGTTTTGCTGTAAGTTCAATGACATTTAATAGAGATACAGAAAGTGAGTCAGACTAGAACAGGTATTAATAGAAAAGTTACAACTGAAAAGAAAGACTCCTTCCTGTTTTCAGGAAGCTTTTTTGTATAACAGCTGGTTCAATGCCAAACTAAATCAAACTTAAGCAATTAAAAGCCACCTAAGAAGAAAGTGAGATTACAAATTTAACTTCTAACAGTGCTATCAAAGTCTGAATTGCTTTCATCCTTTGGGAAGTGTTTTAGGTTTTTTTAACTTGACAATTCCTCCCTTGTTTTTCTTGGTACATACCTGGATCAGAGGTGGACAGACACACAGGGAGTGCTCAGGCATGGTCCTGACAACATCCAATTTCTGCTGCAGGCTTTGGATACTGATGAGTGTTGCTGTTTGCATTGTAGCAGTGAACCCAGACACAATTCTGTGTAAATGGGTGGTATTTTTTTTAAAGCTAATGGTAAATATGATGTATTTTGCCTTTCAGGGAATGGTATTGTACCATAAGAATCAGTATTCCAGTTTTCAGCTTGGTGTCTTGTGAGGGTGATGCTACATTTTGTGTTTCAAAACAATTTCAGTGCTTTCTGAAGGGGAAGATATTGCATGCCTGAGAGCCAAAGTTCTTTTCTCTAAGTAGAGAAGAGAGAGCAGACTCATCAACCTGGATTTCTCCCTGGCAGAGCAGTTCTCTGCTTGGTCTTCAGTTTGCAGTATGTGCTTTAACAGTATTTGATAAAAGCAAAGGGTGTCTGAGGTAGTATAATGGGTTTCTGCAGTGTCACTCTTTTTGAATTTCTGATGCTCTTTTTCATGGCTGTGAGTGGAAAACAGCTCTTTGGCTGATGTTCCCTTCTTTTCTCTTGCACCCTGTTTTCCCTGGAGAACCCAACTTGGTTTGTCATTAAACCTTGATTAAAGGTATGGTTTTTGTACATACACAATTCACTTAGATGGTAGAAGTTGAGAATGTCCCCCATTTTCTCCCAAAAATAAGCTTCTGTGAGTCCCATCTACTGGGCAGATTGTCCTACTTCAACCACAATTTCATGTGTTTATGCAAATACTACATTCAGACTTTCCATATCTTTGTTTTTCCTCTACAGGGGCTGCCATCAGTCACGAAGAACAATGGACTGCTCAACATCACCTTTAAATATGACAGTAAGTTGAAAATCTGCACTATATTCACAGAAATCAAGGACTCCATCACAGTTGTCAATATATAGCAGCATGTCTCTTAAAATGGCTCTAAGAATGGCATAAGCTGCTAAATACTGACATAATTTTAAAATCTAGAAAATTTTTGTCTGCTGTAGATGTTCTTCTGTGTCTCTCTGATAATGAAACTATCTAACAATTTGTGGTAGCTTGTCTTTCGGGTTGGCCTACATAACTTGCCTGGTATTTGACTGGAACATTGTAGAAAATTATTTTAGTCTGTTAAAAATATAGTAACTGGAAGATTCAGTATACACAAGGATATAGGAAATTATTATTTTGAGCTTTCTGCAGCTTTCCTCTGATGTGTAATCTTGGGTGAAGATGGCATAATGTGGGTCTTGAGGTATAAAATGTGTTAGTTTGTATTTGTAGACAGGTAATATATTAAAAAAATGTCTTTGCAAGGATTGATATTGAATATGAATATTGAATAGCTTCATTTAGTTGAATCAGTGGGGACCTTTCATGAGCTACAGTCTTCAAGGGCCAGGCCAAGGGAAGGCTGCTGTGCACATTTGCAGTGCAGCCAGGTGATTTCAGAGCTGTAGCAGCTGTGGTGTGCTCTGCAGCTAAACTGAGAAGTAATCTCTGCCATAGTAACAGTGATAAACAGGTTGAGCAGTAATGCTTCAGACCTCTTCAAGCATCTGCTAAATGGCTGTATCTTATTGTTGGGGGTTATTTTAGATGTTTTATCATCTTTGCTGTCTAGTTGCCACAGGAGGACTGCTAACTACATTAAGAATTTATCCTTATGTGGGCAGCTAGTGGCCATCATATATAAACTCAATGTACATTCAAGACAAGGTCCTAGTTTACATTAAAACAATGTTTGTTTTAATGCCAGTGCAAGTCATAGGTATTTTTTTCTGCCTACCCAAAGAAATTACCTCAGATGCAGAATGTAGGTAAAGTTTCATCATTGAGAGCATGCCTCAGGAAATCTAACAATAGTGATTTGTTTCATTCTGATCAGCCTTTTGCTCCTTTATTATGTTAATTCCTGAATTTGCAATCCTTCACTGTGAATTTTTTTTATCTAATTTGATCTTAAAATGAGCAAAATTTAATTGTGTCAGATTATATAAGATGTAGGTGGCCACTACAAAAGAAGTTGTTGGGTGTTGTTTTATCTACGTAAGGAAAACTAGGAAATGGTACCAGTCAGAACAGAAATCCCCACACTTAGTTAACACAATGAGTCTGTTTAAATCCCAGTATGTGTCATGTTTTTTCCATTAATTCTGGCACTAGAAACTGTGTTTAACCAATGAGAAGTATTAATTCACAATTCTGCTGGCACTGTATGCTCTAGACAAAGGAGTTATTTGAGTTCTGCAGGACTAGGAAAAGAGTTTGCTGATATGAAGACCAAAGAGCTCACATGGTATGGAAATACATATTTACCTTTAATAAGCCAGCACAAAAGAAAATTTGACTTGCTGGCTGTGGTTTAAAGGCTCTTATATTGCCACAGAGCAACTCTAGGAAACTGTTTTATGATGCTAAATTAGTTGGTTAGATTATTTGTTCAGGTGAAAAAGAAGTGTCTGTATTTTTAGTATGTCACTTGTATTCAAGTAAAAAGAAATGGTTTCCTAAAAAGTGTGATTTTTCTATGCTGTTTTCTTCCTAAAACTGTTGTTCTTTATGACTGTGAATCAGTGACTTGCAGTAAGACTTAAGGCATTTGTGCTATATTCCATTTTGGCAAATTGTCATTTGACCATAAAATTCTGGTAACCAGGATCCAAAATCTTGGGCTTGCTATTAATTAGATCCAGACCTAGCAAAAACCAGTTGCTTCAAACTTTCCGTTGAAAGAGATCCTCCATCCTCCTAAGAGGAAGTTCATGCTGTCACTGAGTTCACTCTTAGCAACTGAACTCCACAAACAGTGGAGTACCAAGCACCCAGCTTTTGTAAAGGACAGTGTTGCAGAGTATTCTATTCTTATGTCTGTGGCAGCTATAGAAAAGACCCCTTGCCATGGCTATTCATAGTAAAAAGCCATTTTCTAAATCTCCTTTACAGTTAATAATTTTTCTTTCCTTGCCTTTAAGATCACACCTCTGAATTAAATTCAAATTTCCTGTGCTGGCATATCATAGCACTTGATTTTTCATGTTTCTTTTCTACAAGCTCTCTATAGATGAATATATAGCATATAAATTATCTCAGTTTTTTTTTTTAATTAATCATCAGTCAGTAATATGCAATTTACTGATCAATTTCTTCTGGATTTTGTTAGTTTCACTAGTTCAGAAACAGAATGTTTGTTTTTGCACAGCTGTCTTCATGTATACTCTGCTCCGAGTATATGAGTGAATTCCCTGCCTGCTACTTCTTTTCCTGCCACAAAATATGAGCCTAAATATTGTAAAGCTTTAAAAGTAATAAAATTTGGGGTTGTTTTCTTCTTTTTAAAAGAACAAGTTCGATGACAAACTCAGGAATCTTTTGTTTATGTTTTGTTTTCTTGATTAAAGCTAAAGCTGTGGCACTGTAATTTTAGGGAATACACTGCATTTTGTAAGGGTAGCAAGACAAAACCAGTCCTGAGTGAATCCAGTGGCAGATAAGTGGTCTGTAGGGATGTGGCTACAGAATGGAAGGCAGAGAGGAGATGGATTTAAGCAGCAGGTTCTTTGTGGTCAGGATCAAGCAGAATTGTGGTTGAAAGCACTTCTTGAGCAGTTCTCAAGTTTCACGTGGTTTATTTTCGCATATGTGCCTGATCATTAACCAACATTCTCTTGCTTTGAGCACTGTACATGAACAAAATTAATGTCAGTCTTCAAATTATTTTAAACAGCTACAAGGAGAGGTTGTTCTCTTTTGGGCGTCCCAATACACACGTGATGTGGTACAGTTTACACTGGTGGTATAAACTGGTAATATCCTTGGGGGTCCTGTGAACTGTGGGTTGGCAACCAGTGGAAGTGGTTATGCTCAATGATTTGTGAAGTTTTTTTGTCCCAAAAGTAGGCTTTTGCGTCTTGAGACAAAAACTTCATCTAGATTTGTTGTAGCGTCCTTGTAGAAAATAATGCACTGATACTTTTACTTTGCTCAGTCTTGAAGACATGTTAGGGAATTCATATCAGCTAGAATGTTTTTCTTAAAGTGTTTATTTCTCTATATTTTTAGACTGCACTCCTTATCTGAGTTCAGTGGGAAGACACGTGATTGGAGATGTGCAGAACATCACTATCAGTCAGTTTGCTTGCCAGGAGCAGGTGGCTGTGATGATTCTTTGGACAGCAAATGCCATTGGTAAGTTCTAGAGGGAAATGGACTCATGGGTTTGGCAATAACTTTGTGCTCATAGGTATTAAGTCAAATAATTAAATTATGCTTGGAATGATTGATGGAAACTGCCTAAGAAGAAAGGAATTCTTAACACCTTTGCAAAGCTCCTATTTTTTCTGGCTTGCTTCAAAAACACCCTTAAAACTAGGATGTTCTCTGCAGTCATACCCTGCTTTTTACTATCCCAGTTAAGTGAGTTTTTGTTCTTCAGAAGTGTGCAACTTTCCCTGGTTTCATTTTCTGCCCTAAGGCATTGGTGCATTTCAGTGGCATTGATTGAGTTTAGTTCCTGATACACTTACAGGTTACAGGTGGGAAACATTTTCTAATCACAGAGTAGATGCAACTTTAATGTGTTTCCTTGCCAGGCCTGGTGATTAAGAGTATGCCTCAATTACTTCAATGTCACTGGAAGTACCTTGTTGCCCAGTAGAGCAGTAGTGTCCAAAATTGAGGATGTGCAGAAATCCATTTCCACCGAGAAACTTATTTCTGGGCTTTAAAAGAATTTGTGAAAATTCCACGGAATTCTGCAGTTGAATGGTCAGCTGCAGACAGGGTGAATCAAACATCCATGGGAAACAAAGCCTGGTGTTCTTCCTTGTGATCCCCAGAGGTAAATCCTTTGGACAGTCTGAGGGCAGAATTGCTGTTCAGGCATCTCGGGTAACATGGGAACTGGGCACTTTCGTGTAAGGACAAATAGTGCTTTTGTCCCATGAATGCTAAGAACATGTTTGGCAACACTTTATCTTCTACAAAATTATAAAACATAATCAAAACATCCAAACCCGTGAAAACTAGTGAACCAGAGGAGTGGTGGAAAGTGATACATTTGGGATTTTATTTTTGGGTTGACAAGCATAACATAAACTGAAATGAGTCCCTTTTGATTTATGTAGCATTTAGCTTACAAAAGCTGTGTCTGTGTCATTGATAAATATGTGTAATGCTGTTGAAGAGATACAATTAGATGGAGCAGTGAGAGTTAAAGAGCAGTGCAGTGCCTCTGATACCTGAGCCACAAAACTGTCACAGGGTAACACTGGCATTTTCCTGGGATATTCACATCACTGTGACTCAGTTTAGTCATATCATGAAGTAATTCTGTGATGAGAACATTGTAAAGATACTGTGCTAAGTTGTAGTAGAGTAACTTGAACAAAATGGGTGTAGTTCTGGCAGCAGTTATGAATAACTGGAAGTATACATGCACTGGAATAAATTCCATTCCATTTAAGTCAAATTTTCTGTTAGCCCTTACTGTACTAGAACTAAAGAAGTTGTAGCAATTGTTACCATTTTAATCTGGTAGTCTCAGAGATGATAGTAAAATTTATAAGGGACTAGTTCTGTAATTTGCCAGCAAAATTTTATATTTGATTGTTAAAATGGAAATGTGAAGTTACTATTAAGTATTTCTGAAGGTGAAGAAGGTACTTATAACTTACATTGCAGTGGTAATTTGGAAGCCCCTGATGGGACATGGGCACTTCTGTTCCAAGCATTGCACAAGTATGCAGTGATTGTAGTCTTTGCCAAAGACTGAACTCTAGCTAGGGAAGATGGAATATGCAGAGCCTGACATACAGCAACAGGTATTAAATATAAACATATTTGACATGACTGATAAGTTTTATTCTTAAATAAAAATGAAATATATTCAAATTGCATTAAATACCACATTATGAATTTTGAAATATTTATCTTCTGTTTAAATGCCCTGCTATTTGTAGGGATTGAATACCTGAAGGGATTTCGAGTAATACTCGAGGAGTTAAAATCAGAGGGAAGACAATGCCAGCAGATGGTTTTAAAAGATCCAAAGCAGCTCAGCCCCAGTTTTAAACGAACAGTAAGTGCTTTGTTTCAAGAAAAGTTTCAGTGTTGTTTGACTGTGAGTAGTCTTGAAGGTGTTTATCATCCTAAAATGGTTTGGGTCATTAAAGGTCATCCAGTTCCAACCCATTTGCCTTGGGCAGGGACACCTCCCACTATCCCAGGTTGCTCCAAGCCCCATCCAGCCTGGCCTGGAAAACTTGGAGGGATGGGATATCATAGCTTCTCTGGGCAGCCTGTGCAGGGTCTCACCAATATCTAATCTAATCCTACCCTCTTTCAGTTTGAAGCCATTCCTTCTTGTCCTATTGCTCCATGCCCTTGTAAAAGAGTTAGTTGTCTCCCAAAAGTATTATTGGTGAAATTAATGATAGTTGTTGCTTTAGAGACAAATCTTGTTCCTTTTGATAAAACTTTCCTGAACTTGGGAACTGTCATTTTGGTGACTAGAGTACAAATGTACATCTGTAATAGTCTACATCCAACCATGGATTGAGATTCCTCATGTCAGTTTGGAATACAGGGGTAGAGAAAGGGTTCTTAATGTATTAATTTCCTTTAATTTCAAAATTGTGGGCTGACTTTGAAAAATACTTTCAGCTCTGATCATTGATTTTAAAATATGTTGCAATCTTGTCTTTTTTGTAGGGAATGGAGTCCCAGCCCTTTGTAAACTTGAAGTTTGAAACAGATTACTTTGTAAAGATTGTTCCTTTTCCTTCCATTAAAAATGAAAGTAATTATCACCCATTTTTCTTCCGAACTAGATGTAAGTATTGCATATAATATAGTGTTGCACTTTATACAGTATTGACTATCATCTCTTCAGTGGGCCTCCCTTCCCCTCAACATTTGGGTTTTTCCAACAAAGGAATGGAGTGGAGGATGATGTTGGATGAGTCTGGGTTAAGTTACTGACATTGTTGTGGAAGGAAGATCTGGGTGTTAAGCAGAAAGAATGAGCATGCCATAGATAAATCTGTGGTGTGTGATCATAAGTGCTAGGCAGCAACCAGAAGAAAAGTCTCAGGTAGGCCTGAGATTATCTCAGGTTTGCCTAGAGCAGGATTGTTCCTGTGGTTCTCAGTTAACTCTTGAAGATGGTTTGCTTCTCTCTGGACATTGTGAAGAAGGGCAGTTTGTTCTTTGCCTTTGAGATTAAAGTTTAAAAACAGCTATCTTAAGACATATATAGGGGTGTACATCTAAAATTGGATAGCAGCAGATCAAGTTGAATTTCTCACAATTACTTAGCAATTCTCATTGGAGGTGGAGAGAAGAAATTGAATAAGCTCCTCAGTGCTCACACAGTATAGTGAGTAACTGCAAGTACCCTTTGAGGTGTACTGTTTGTCCTGCTAAGGTTTTTTTCCCCCCATAAAACTTGCTTAAACTATTTTCAAGTCTGCCTATTAACACAGACTGCTGTACCATTGGTAGTAGTGCTCAACATACTTGCATACTCTGAGTAAATATATCTAAGGCTAGTTTTAACTTCTGTCCTGATGTGCTGTGCCTGGTGTTATCCCCTTTGTCTCACAAACAAATGTGATATTCGTATTAATGGATCTCTGTTTCTCATATACAGATGAGAAAGGACTTGAAATCATAACAAAGGAGTTAAGTTTGCAAAATGCATTTAGTGCAGGCAAATTAGAGTCTGGGAAAGAAGTGAGGGTATTCAAAATTATGAACTCCCTACTGTGGCCCTTGTTTTTTCTGTTTAAATAGAATAGCAGTTTGATACTGTATAATCAATATTTTTTCTGTATATTTGTAGCATGTGAATTGTTGCTACAGCCAGAAAACCTTGTCTGCAAACCTTGTGAGTAAAATGTAATATTTCTATATATTGAGCTTAAAAAAAAGTTTCTGTACTTGAAGAGTCATTTTGCAATTCATTAATATCTCCTGACAGACTGGAAGCCAAGGAATGTGAATGTTACCCAGCAGGGTTTTAACATGCAAGTGTCCTTTGATCATGCACCTCACAACTTTGGGTTTAGGTACTACTTTCTTCACTACAAACTGAAGCATGAAGGACTGTTTAAGCAAAAGACCTGCAGACAGGTATGTGGCTGAGTTTTGCAGTTCTTAAAAGCACAAAACCTATTAACATGAGGTGTTCTAAGGTCTTACAGAAACTTTAGAAACTTAATATAAAATAGTATCAGTTTTAAAATTGTAAAACTATTTATGTAAGTAACAATTGTGCTGTGATTACACTCATCAGTCAAAACCAGGCCTGAGGACTCCTTTGGACCTGGATAACACAAGTTAGTTCTGCAGGCAGACAATTGTATAAGTGAATGGGCAGACTTAGTTCTGCTGGTCTAAGGTGTGTTAATACAAGGGTGCACTGCCTATTTCTAAATCAATGTGAATTCTTTATTAGGTTTTCGAAGTATGTGAATTGCTTGCAAAGTATTCTTTCTTTATGCAGGAGCAGAACACAGACACTACAAGTTGTGTTCTTCACAACGTATCTCCGGGGGATTATATCATTGAGGTAATATTTCTAAGCAGTCTTCTGTACAACACCTAAGTGAGTATGTTATTGGGGAAATGGAGTAAAATTAAAATATTTCAAATCACACTGGTAGAATTGAACTCTAGGTATCCCTTCTGAAGTTACTTGGGCAAGTAAATCTTCTAGAATGATGCTTTTTTTAGGCTTACCTAGAAACAGAGGCCAGATAAAGTCAGGAGAATAAAAGCGGATTATTTATTGAAGAGCCTTCTGGTATATTAAGGGCAGATGAAGCCTCCTCAAGGGGCTACACCCAAAATGGATGATGGTCAGGAGTTTTTTCAGACAGATATAAGTTTGGTCCATTTACATATCAGGGATTAATCCTCCAATTACAGCTTCAGGTAATGAAGTCAAATTCTCCCAACTGGAGAATTTCCCCCAATTCCCTTTTGTTTATACTTTTTGGGGCCTGAGACTGTATGGTATCCTTGGATCACAGGCCCAGAGGGATTGTTGTGTCTAACCAAAATGTGAAGATAGTTAACTAGCACTTTATATGGAGTTTAGAGTTATGCACTAATGCAGTACAGGATTTGAAAAATACAAACGCTAGAATCTTAAGGCATCAGAATGTTCTTGACCTTCCATAGCCTTGCCTCCTTGAGTGCACAGCACATTGTGCCTTAAACTGAAGTTTTGGTCTTGCATAATTCCTGGACATTGATTTTTTTTTTTTTTTAAATTGCAATTCTCTTTCTTGGTCAATTTTTATTATACTAGTTTGTGCTTCTCTTTAGTTTTAACTGTTTGAACAGTAACTTTCTCCACATTTGGTCATAAAAGCTGTTAGTTATTTTCATATTGCAGAAAATAAAATTAATTTTTTACTTTTCCAAGCTGGTTGATGACACTAATACAACAAGGAAAACTATGCACTATGCACTAAAGCCAGGTATGAATTCTGTTTTTTAAACAATATACTATATTTACTGTATTAACTTAGATTGAGTTTTAATTATCTTGGAAGTAAGTCTCTATTTGACCTTTGTCTGTTTGCCATAATCTAGACTGTTGAGATAATTGTGCTGTTCTTTTTTGACCTAGTGAAAAAAATAGAGATGCACACTTGAGCATATACATGTGCATCTCTGTACATTTATATTTAGTGGAGTTTAGATCAATCCATCATTGGAAATCTTTGTGGGAAAGTGGCTTTTGGTGTATATGTGGATATGAGGAATGATAACTTTAATTGCATACAACAGAGAGTTCAATAGTGTGGAAATACTGCAGTGAAACTGTGGGATCAGCCTGAACACATCACCTGTGTCCTTCAGCCCTGGTTCCAAACCCAGTGGTCTGGAGAACCTGGCAGGTGAATGCTTCACATGCCTATGGGTGAGACCTGGTTTTGAGAAGCTAAAGAGAGATTTCAGAGTGCAGCTGCAGCCTCAAAGCAGCCACAGATGGAGGCAGTGGATAAAATGCACTGAATCCTAATGCACATTGCTAAGAGCGATCTCTGCAGGAAGGCAGACAACCAAAACATGTCAGGTCCAAATGACCACTGCATATCTCATCCAAACTATTTGCCACAGGGTTGTTCTCCTGGGGCTGGTGTGAGTTGAAGCTCTTGTTACTTATGAGAGTCACTGATGCTGTGGCAGTGGGGCAGCCACCATAAAAACTAATTTGAAATGGAGCAGAACATAATATTTGAGCTTACTGTATCTTGGACATTACCTGATAATAGAGCACTGCAGCAGTTTTGCTTTCCCAATGTGAAGATTTGTTTAGATAATTGTAATGCAGCCTATTTGCGTGTGGCTAATGGTGTTTTCCTTTTGCAAGTGCACTCCCCGTGGGCTGGCCCCATCAGAGCCATTGCCATCACAGTCCCTTTGGTTGTCATCTCTGCCTTTGCCACGCTTTTCACCGTCATGTGCCGCAAGAAGCAGCAAGGTAGGAAGGTTCACTCTCTACCAAGTGCCATTTCAAGATATGCTTTTGCAACCAAAACAATCCTAATTGACAGGTTGACTCCAGAAACACCTTTATCTGAAAAGCTTGCTTTTTTATTTCTTTATCCTTCTTCCCCTCAGCTTTTGGTGTGTTGAAACCTGTAGCAAATTCTTAATCAGTGCTTGATGGTAATTGGTTGCCTAGGCAGTATTGTATTCACAGATCAACACTTCACTGTAGAAAGGAGAGAACAAAAGCAATATTGGAGAATACTTTGTATTTCATATTTCTTTTTCTTTGAGAAAGTATTTTGTGACTATGTAGATTACAAACAGATTTGTAAATGGCTATGTTTTAAACATTCCCTTATTTTACTCAGAAATACCTAATTCATATTCATTTTAAATCAGAAGAAAAGTAAAGCCATGTGATGCCAATACAATTCCAGTGCTGTCTGGAATATTATGTACAGCTGCTATTTCAGATTTGCTCACTTTCCTGGAAGTTGCCTTTACCTTTCATTCTAAGCCATCTTCCTAAATTTACTGTAAGCCCTGTGTGCAGATGTTCTTAGATTCCATTCCCCCTTGCTGACTTCTCCTCTGTATCCAGGAGCTGGCAAGCTACACTTGATACATTTAAATGTTCAATATACATTGGCTTTTTATATTGAATTTAGATAATCATGTGGTTGCATGAATAATGGAAAAAGAGATTACTTCTCCAAACCTCACATATCTGTGTTATCCACCTGAATTTTGGCACTGAGATAGACTATAAGTACTATATGCCAGATGGGTTTAATCCTTTTACCTTCTGGTCTTCTGCAGTTCACAGCTAGCAAGTTCCAACAAAAAACCCAAATGACTGAGGATTTGTCTACAGAGAGAGTTGTTCCAGAATAGTTATTCCTGATGAATTGTTCTGAATTGAATCCCTGGATGGATACTTGTATTTTGAAATACTCATACTTTATTCCAAATTAGTTTAATCAGCTGTAGAACTAGATTGAATTAGTCTGGCATAAGGCCAGACTTTTATGTTCCAGCATAAAAGGATCTATGCAAGGAAAGAAGCACTAATAGCTCTTTAGATTTAAATGAATCATATCTTAATTCGAATTAATGTCAAATTAATGTCCAAACATGGGTGTGTATATATACACTAGAGAAATCTTGTATGATATCCTGAAAGGGTCTGTAGACCTGGAGTTTAATATTCTTACCTGGTTTATGTTGTGCTTTGGGATTTTTTAACAAGAGGCTTTATTAGGTAGGAAACTCTTGGAGATGATACATCTTTTAGGCGTATAGTGCTTGAACAGATGTGAAGGCTGTTGAGGCTGAATAAAGGTGAAACAACTTCATTCTATCTATAAAATAAACCTTCCTTGTGTTTTCTGAGTTGGGCAGAAATAACTGTACATTTAACTTTGAAAGTGTGTTCCACATGCAGTAAATCTTAAGCTGGATAAATAGAGTTTGTACAACTTTTCTTTTTCAGGATGGAAAGGAGAGGAAAATCTTTAGGGAAAAAACCCAAACATTACTGTATGCATTAGTAAAAAGCCTACAAAAGTAATAAAAAATCCAAACAAAATCAAGCTTTATAGTGTGAACTTTCTTTTCTCTTGCACTTTAGAAAATATATATTCCCATCTAGATGAGGAGAGCTCAGAATCTTCAGCATATGCTGCAGGTCTCCATGTGGAAAGACTTCGACCCCGGCCAAAAGTTTTCATCTGCTATTCCAGTAAAGATTGCCAGAAACACATTAATGTCATCCAGTGCTTTGCTTATTTTCTTCAGGACTTTTGTGGCTGTGAGGTAAAGTCAGCATTTCATATGTAAACAGCTTTTCCTTAATTGAAACAGCACTCCCAAAATTCTGTGCTTGAAGAGTAGCTATTTCCCTCACTCCTTTCCACAGAAAGATCTTTTGTTTTTTTTCTAAATTTAGACTGCATGAATTTTCTTTACTGGGGGAAATTGAGAGATCTTATCCAGTGTAAAAAACCACCAAAACAACCCAAGCCAACAGAATAGTGGAAGATCATGATTCCAGGACTTTAATTCAGCTATGTTTAGCTTGCTTTGAACTAAGTGCTTTTTCTGTTTAGTAGACATTACATCTTTATAGTCAGCAGCCACAAAGAGGTATTGCTTTCCACCTGATATACTTGGGTATTCCTAAAGTGTGTTTTGTATTGTAATTTAAAAGAAGTTGAATCTATCAAGACTTCTTCTCATAGAGCAAAAACTGCATTATTAGCATTACTTGTTGGCAGCATGTACTTGCTAATTTTTTTTTGCTTCCCTTCTGTTCCATTAATACTGTGAAATCAGCAGCTCTTTTTTTTCTTGTTTTTGTTTGAATGGTATGAGAGAGACATTTGAATTGCTACTTTGAATGAGCAGGCTAAGAATCTCCTACTGCTGTCTGAAATAGAATCAATATGTGACCAATTTTTCACTTTTCAGCTGGAAAAAGGCAGGACAGTTGCCAGTCTCTTTGTGCTGCATTTTCCCCCATCCCTGGGATATGGCTGGGATGAGCTGGAGCTGGGTTTCATTACAGCAACTCTGCTCTCTGGTGACCAAACACAGAAACACAGCCGAGGCCTCTTGTGCTTGGTGGGGATGGTCACAACTTTTTCAACTTTTTCATCTGCTTAAAATAGTTCAGGATAAGCTGTTTTATAACTAACTTACTTGAAACCCCTTTTAGAGATGTACTTTAGCCCTACTACACTGTTCCTCTTTGAAATAGTGTTGAGATGAGCTCTTACTGCTCTAACCATGGAATCTATGGTCTCAGGCAGCATCCAAAATTTCTATAACAAAATGTTGATGGCACCTATGTACAGAAATAATATGTGTTGTTATTAAAGCTGTGGAGTTTAATATAAAAACAGATGCTTAATGCATAACAGAAGAGTTGCACAAGTATTTTTCATATGAAATTGAAATGTTTTCTCAAAGGATAAAAACAGTGGTATTTAATACCTGTTTAAAATAATAGCTTGTTCATAATAAACATCCTTTCTCACATATAGCAGGCCACAGAGAGTTTTGAAGAACAGAAATAAAACCAGACACAAAACCACCTGCATCTCCCAAGCAGCAGTAAAAAATGATCTCTCTTCCCTATGCACAAGCTAGAGGTGTCTGTTTGGAAGGGCTGACAATGATCATCCAGTCCAACTGACCAGCACTTCAGGCAAATCCATAGTGATTTTTTTTTTAAGGAACCACTTGGATTTATATACATAAAACTTAACCAGATTTACCAGATTTTTTTTTTTTCCTTTTTTAGGTGGCTTTAGACTTGTGGGAAGATCTGAAAAACTGTAAAGAAGATCAGAAGGAGTGGCTTATTAAAAAAATAAATGAATCGCAGTTTATCATCATTGTGTGTTCCAAAGGAATGAAATACTTTGTTGAAAAAAAGAACTGGAAGCACAGAGGAGTAACCAAAGATGCAGGAAAAGGAGAACCCTTTCTCTTTGCTGTGTTGACTGTTGCAGAGAAGCTTCGTCAGGCAAAGCAGAATTCAGCTGACCTCTGCAAGTTCATTGCAGTCTACTTTGATTACTCCTGTGAGGGAGACATCCCTGCTATTCTGGATCTGAGCACAAAATACAAACTCATGGACAATCTCCCCCAGCTCTATTCACACTTACACTCCAGAGATCTTAGTGTACAAGATTCAGAGGTGTTTCCTGTTAACATTAGTAAAAGGAATTATTTCAGGAGCAAATCTGGGAGGTCCCTTTATGTTGCTATTTGCAACATGCATCAGTTCATTGATCAGGAACCAGATTGGTTTGAGAAACAATTTATTCCCTTCCCTCCACCTTCTTTACACTACATGGAGCCTGTCATGGAAAAATTTGATTCAGGCTTGGTTTTAAATGACTTGGTGAATAAACAGGTGATGGATGGTGATTTTTACCTGAAAACAGATCTAAACATTTCAGTGGGGAATTCAGACTCTCACTGTATAATTCAGCACTTAAACCTCGGAGAAGATATAGAAACTCAGGACATTCAAGGTGGTGGCAGCTCTGTCCTTCAGCCCTTGTTACATGTTGTTAAAGCTTCAAATCTGAAAGACATGCCTCGGGATTCTGGAATCTATGATTCATCTGTCCCTTCATCTGAATTATCTTTGCCTTTAATGGAAGGACTATTGACAGACCAAATGGAAACGTCTTCCATTACAGGAAGTGTTTCTTCATCATCAGGTTTAGGTAAGATACAGCAGTGTATCAAAATTACATTCAGTTACTGTGCATATTTCTGCCATCTCCACATAGGTAAGATGATATGTGAGGAGCCATAGAAAAGGCTGCACAGAAAGGTAAGCATTGTATAAAGATGATAAAACAAGTAGAGTAACTTCAGAAAAATGAATCCTTTTCTAAACTTACAGTGTGTGGAGGAGATCTTAGCTAGCAAAGATTTCACTAAAATTCTATTAATAAGTCACTGCTCATTAATTGACCTATTCTTGGAGAGATAGCTTCTTCCTCCCAGGGGCTCCTTGGCAGCTGGGATTTCAGCTGACAGCTGTGTGGTGTAATCAAGAGGGTGATATGGTGAAGCATTCTCACAGACAGCCATAAATCTAAACCTGGCATCCTATTTTGCTCCAGCACACAGGATCTTTTAGGGGTATCATCTGTACTGTGTTTAACTCAAGTTTCAGAATGACATCAGGCTTTTCACCAGATACAGGGCTGGGGAATGAACAAATGGCTTTCAATGGAGTAATTTAAATGCTTGGGAGACACTCTCCAGAATAGATACCTAGCTCAGATACCTCCAGTTAGAAGGTGTAAATTTTGCCTCAGGCTGTATAAAATAAAACTGATCTAGCCTTACTAGTTACAGGATATTGAACTGGCATCACAACTACCTCAGTGTGGAGTGTTCCAGCAATTGTATTGCTATGATAAAAGTGCTCTGCTGAGATTTTCCTTAAGCAGCTACAACAGGTGAATATTGCATTTTGATGGTTGTATGCTGTTCTGCTTTCTGGAAGAAGTGTTGACAGCATGTTAACTAGACTTTTCTCTTGGGTAAATTATTTTTTTAATTCTTTTTTAGATAATTCATAACTAATGTTTGATGCCAGAATTATCTTGGAGCAAGAGAATACAAATGCTGATTTACAGATATAGTACCCATCAGTTAGATAGTCTATGTGAATAAATAGTTAAAAATTTCAAGTGGAAAAAATACAGATTTACTGGTTAAATTAATTAATTAAGCCAAAATTACTCTGTTTTCAGAATTAAAACTATATTTTTTATTTTCCTACCATCTTCTAACTTAGCCTTTTCTCACATTTGTGGGAAAAATTACAGATGATCTCTGTAAAGGTTCTAGTGGAAGTAGGATGCTAGTTTAAAATGTATGGCCTCCCTGTAAGAAAGCTTTCCCAGTTTCCCCTTCCTGATTCAATGACTGAGCTGTCAGCTGGGTGCCCCAGCTGCAAGGAGGCACAGGAAGAAAGAGGCAGTCTTTCCAGTAATTAATTCTCAAGTCACATATCCCCTTGTTAACATACTTCATCTGCAGAGGTTAAATGTTAGCACTCTTGCTGATAGAGTTGGATCTTAGCATTGATGTTCCAATTTCTCAAGAAACCACAATTTCTGCCATTTTTCCATTTACTGTCCTCATCCAAAAGCACCACACAAACTGACTCCCCCAAACCTCCCTCACCCAAACCACAGTCCTGATGAGGTACAGGGTGCAAAGGAGACAGCTTTGGAACTGAGCATCATCTGCCTCTTAGAGTGCAACCCATTAAATTTGTTTACTGTCCCAGACATACAAAATATTTACAGCCCTAATATTTATATGCATGCTAATGAGAGGAGTAAATAGAATTTTTTAGCTCTTCTTCTTGTTCTGAAAGATAGACACGTCCAAATTATTGCTCTGAATTCACCCTATATTTAGGTTTTTTACTTACTTTGCCTATTGGTCAGAACAGATGGGAATAGCTGTGACATTTAGCATCTCAAAAGATCTTTCTTCCTTAAAAGGCCAGTTTGATATAATCTTTTGAATAAAAATCATAAATCACCTTATTTATAATCCTTTCTATCTTTCAGTGCAGTCCCTGAGCAGACTACTGGTCTGCAAAGTAAAGATTCTCAAAGAGATCATCATATTTGGCATCTTCAAATGGAGTTCAAGCCAGTTTAATTTTGGTGAAGTACCAAAACCAAACCTTTATTAGGTCCATTCACTAACAAGGTCTTCCCTAAGAAGTCCTGCCTGGGAAGAAAGTCAGTATTGCACCTCTAGATAACATTTTGCTGAGCATGATCGTTCAGCCTCAGGAGTGCATGACAAGATGGTGCCAGAGGCATTTCCTAGGTTTTTTTGGCATTGTTTCTGAAATGTTGACCGAGTACAAAATCACTGTTTCAGTTAATGAACTTCCCATTTTTTTTTTTTTTTACCTTTCATAGGAGAAGAAGAACCACCTGTAATGACTGCTACAAAGTTCTTAGTGCCTGGAATATGCAAAGCAGAACTTCATTGCCACATCCACACTGAGGAACTGCAGGCAATTGCTCCCTTATAATACACTACAACATTGTTATGCATTGCCACTTTATCAACAGCCTCTGTTTGTGCTTTAACTATCACACTGTCTCTGCACCAAAACTACTTGAAGAAACAAACTGCTCCTGAAGAAGATCTGTTATTCCATTTTTTGTGGCCAGTAAACTTGAATCTGTTGGTATTTTTATAAAAAATCTTTCATGATTTTGAAAATGTACATTGGAAAAACAGAAGAGCATACATTTAAAATTATTCCTGTTATAATTTAAATGTCATTATATTACACTGTTTACAGATGGCATAATCAAAATTTACTATTTTTTTTGCTAGGAATAAATTTGCAACTGGATATAAAATAGCTTGGAACATTAAGCCTTAGTAAATTTTGTAGTCCAGCCTCTAGTTTTAAGTGCTGATGTACTTGATGGCAGGAGTGTTGTAGTCAATGAGAAGAGGATTTTTTTCTGAAGCAAGGTAAAAATGCCAAAGGTGAGATCAAGAAATTCTTCCTCAGAAGAAATCATTTTCTTTTCAAAATGTTTGAGCTCTCGTCCTCAGCCTCCTTTTCCCAGTTGCTAATGTGTCTCAGTATTTAATTTCAGTGCATATCTCCCTCCTCTGCATTAATCTCCTGTGTCTCCTCCACAGTCTGGCTGTGGTGACTCACAAACAGCACCATTCTGAGGCTGAGGGATCATTCTTATAATAGACAAAAATACAGGTCCTCCATATCCTGAATTATACCATGGGAAACAAAGCCTCCTATTTTCTTCCTGAAGGGCTAATATAAAGAATAAAGAGATGGAAGAAGGAAGACTCTATCTTATATTGAAGATATTCTAGGTTTGTTCAGCCATGAGAGGAGTATACTGTATGGGGGTTCATACCATGATATGAAGGACATGGTGGTACAAAACCACCTGGGCTAAAACAAGCCAAGAATAGCAGTTAACAGGCAGGAATACTTTGTCCTGAGCCAAGCAGTAAACAGCAGCCAGTGAGTTATTTTGCAGTTTACACTATTTATCATCACTTAGTGATTAAGATTGTGTGCTGTCACTAGTGTTATAGTAAGGAAAAATGCAAAAACTACCACAGGCCATTTCTATCTGCTGACACAGAGCATGCATGTCCTGTTTCCTGCAGTGACCAGGTGGGTAAATCTTCATCCAAAATGTCCCTCCTGTTTCCCAGGAGCAAATTTTCCAAAATTAAATGTATCTGTGTAACTGCAATTCCAGGCACTATTGCAGAAAGCATGGGACCAACAAACACTAAAGGACAGCTTACCAATGTGCCTTTGCTCATTCTGGTCACAGAGTCAAATTCTGTCTCATTTAACCTGTATTCACATTCCACTAGCAGGGGGTTACTTTAAAGAGAATTAAGGGAGAACTCAAATACCTCAAATATTCTCTTAGTTTCTATAGGTGAGAATTAGACATTGTTAACTGTTATATTTTATTATCCATTTTAATAGCATGAGATAGAACTATTAAGTGATGATTTTGGCTGAGTAGCTGTAAAGCTCACGGGTTGTTTTCTTGGGTTGGTTTTGTTTTGGGGAGTTTTTCGTGTCGGTTTAATTATTGGAGTTTCCCAAACAAAGGACTCTGGAGATTGTTATCACAGATGGAGTAAGAAAGTGCTGTAACAATTATTTGTGTATAGCAATTAATGGCAGAACTCTGACATATTTTGCAATTGTAATATGGAATTCTTTGATCATTTGGATCAGCATGTGTTGGATCTGGAGGGCCTTGTCCAGTAATGAAATGTTCCTTATTCTCTCTGCTTTCTGAATTTCAAAGAACACTACCTGGAAAACTTCAAAACTTGCAATATCTAAGTTACACACATAGTGAATCATCTGTGCCTTTGATGATTTTTTAAGGCTGTGCCTTGGGCCTTGTAACAGGCAAAATTTTCCCTGTTTTCCCATTGCTTGAAGGTCAGACTAGGCAGAATCATTTAGAGGTAAATGCTCCTCCACTAAATCCAGCTAAGAGGGATATTGATTTGGTCAGTTTTTGTTATTTTTCTGAAGAAGGAGTTCAGAGTGAATAAGACAAGGCAGAAAGGTGACACATCCTGTGTGCTGAAGATCTGCTGTGCATAGAAATGCCAAAGCTACACAACATGAGAAGGAGGAGGAGGCAGTTTCTTAGCAGTGAGATGGTGAAAGTAATGCTGCTTTCATCCACGGGAAGTCCCAGCTCACTTACTGTTATTTAATGCTGAGCTGCAGATTGGGAAGATTTCCTTGTCCCATTAAATGCAGTGGCAGAATCAGTATTATGAAATGAAATTAAGTTTTCATTTTGAATTCTGAGAAAGCTGAGTGTTGAAAAGGAATGAAGGCAGTTGCACAAAAAATTGCTTTGTCATTAATGTGGTTTTTAAAAATTTGTTCAAAATTTGCTGTACAATCTTGCAAAACTTATTTGTTAATTATAAAGTCTATGCAGATGACAGTCAAATCTAGGGGCAGGAGGGAAAAAAAAAGCTTTATTCCTTCTTAGCTTAAGGTGGAAGCAGCATATTGTATGTACTCATTAAAAAGACAATATAATTAAGTGAAAGTATAGATTAGGATGGCCCACACCTAAAGTTTACAAAAGAGAAGTAATACTTAATCTAACTTAGTATAGCTTTTTTACAAAGCCACAGTTCCTAAAACAGTTAGATACCATGTATATTCAGATACTGGAAAGACGTAGTACTGAATTGGCAAGAGTTCTTTATGCTGGGAACAGCTGCAAAAATCCTTGGGAAAATTATTTTTTTAAAGCTATGTTAACACACGTATTAGTGGTTAGCTTACTACTATTTTAAAGCATTAGTAAATTCTAAACATCATGGTAATGATGAAAGGATCCCTTTAATTTCTGCTACACTCAAGTGTGTGGACATTGAATATTTCATCGTGTATTTTCTGGGAGGGTGAAAAAGCATTGGAAAGCTGAAGGCTCAAGATGTGACAGTGTGTTCAGCATTTTGAATGCGAGTAAGTATAGTTGTTGCCATAATTTGTACCTGTCCATGGACACATCAACTTTTGAAAATAGAATGCACCTGACATTTGCAGAAATAATGTTTTGTCATACTTTAATTTAGAAGGTAAATACCAAAATAAAATATTTTTGTTCTATTTCATTCATTGGGCTTTTCTTATACTATTAAAAAGAAATGGGTTAAAAGTACATTGGTTTTATCCTGCACACTTTGAGTGCAGTTCTGTACAACACACAAGCAGCCAGACCTGCTAACTGCTGCTCATGCCCTACAGCTGGGAGGGAAGAGGCTGTTTTGATGGATCTTTATTGTAGTTGAGCAACTCTAAGGAATGCTAACTTCTGAAACTTCTGTATGGGACAGACTGGGTCAGATGTTATTTTTTAATAAAATTGCATTAATATGATTTTATGCAATTTTTTTCTGTATTTTCCCTCAAGGTCTCCTAGCAGTACGTGATTGTTCTGCATGCCAAGTGAAACCTCTCCACATCCACAAAACTGTAATAACCTGGATTAATTTTGTTAAAGAGGATGTGATAAACACTTAAGATTTATATATGGGTTTTTTCCATCCAGCTGATTTCAAAGCACTGTTCCAGTCAGTGAACCATGCAAACTGTAATTTTAGGGTTAAGCCTTGAAACCACTGATTGCTTATGTTGCTCGGGTAAATGAGGGGAATCTAGTTACATAATGTTAGATATAATTGTAGGCACAGTTTGTGGTGATTGGGAGTGGGGCTGGGCTCATCCCCAGTGTCACAGCTGTGAGCAGCAGGTGAGCAGCACTGGCAGCAATGAGCCAGGGAGTGCCCAGGTGCTCTGAGCAACCACCAAAGGGAACAGGGGGCACACAGGGGCACTGCAGGAACATGAGGGGATAAAAGGCTGGGCTGAAGAACAAGGGCAGACCCCTGCAGCCTTCTGGAGTGGAATGATGTCACTCTGCATGGGCAGACACCTGAAGCCTTCTGATGAGGTAAGGTGTTACTGTGAATGGGGGAATGCTTAAAGCCTTCTGGAATTGTGTGGTGATGCTCTGTGTATTGTGGCTGTCTCAACTTACAATACAATATAATTTACAATATAATAGGCTTCATAGTTACAATAGTAAAAATCTGTGCAAGAAGCAGTTAACATAGAAAAATTTCTTTGTCAGGTAATAAAAAGACTTAAAACTGTAGCAGTCAAGGTTGATTTACAAAAACCAAACTTTTTTCCAGACTGTCCTGGTAGGATTACAGGCCTTGGCCATAGATGGCATGTTGAACTAGCATGAGTGAGTGTATGGAATGCTGTCCTGTTGGGCTGCTGATTTAGTTTGAATTCTAACTCTTTAGCTGCTACTGGTGTGCAAAAAGATCTGCTTGAAAAGAGGCAGTCTTGTTGATTATATGAGTCAGGTAAGTTTGTTTTATGGCAGTCCATCAATTTGGTATTTTTTCTCCACGGGGGAAGTGTGTGTCTGTGGTTTCATGTAATTCTAAACTCTCTAACACATCTGCTCCCTGTGCAAGTTCTGTATTAACCCTTTAACTGTAAATCAACATCAAATTGCTCACAAAACTTGCTCTGACTTTTTTAACAGCAAGACAGGCTTTTGATGACCTAAAATACTTGCTATTGATAATCAATGCATTTTCCTAGGTACACAACGTTGCTTCTATTTCTTCAATATTGCATTTCTTAACAGCCATAGAACCCTCGATTATACCAAGGGCTTGGGAATCTGATATAGTATTTTTTTTTTCCATTTTAAACTAAATTAACCTTTAGAGGTTGTCTTTTATTGGAATATCAACTACTTCCAATAACTGCAAGCCAGGAGTTCTTCATTACATTTGGCAGTACGGTAAATCTACAGATCAAACCTAAAACCACAAATCACCTTCTTCATGCTTTAAGAAAAATTATTTTTAACCCAATTACAGAGTCTTAAACTTGTCTATTTGGATGTCTTGCATAGTAAAAGGGAAAATTAACCACTTGGAGAATGGGCTTGTTTACATATTTTTCACATAGTTGCCAAACTAAACTGTGTTTTAAAGAAAAAAAAATCCCAAAATGATTTTACATTGAGAAAACCAGTGTCAGGAATACTTTCAGGGCAGCAAGCTATTGTCTGGTGAAAATTTCTGATGCAAGTTGTAGAACTATAACCAGTATATAAAAGTGTTTTTTGGCAACATTTGTTAGGCCTTTCCAGAAGGCAGTGGCCACACCCTTTTTAGTAATGCTTTATTTCTCAGGTGATTCAACCAATCTCAATGGGTCTGGTTATGAAATTGGATACTGATGATGGGAATGGGACATAGATGAGACAGCTTTTTCTTTATAAGTGCACAAGTGGTCACATACAGGCCATGAGCATATGTTACTGCCCTCATGTTACATGAGAGCTGGGTAGGAACTAGATAAAGTATAGGAAATGGATCACTTGGGAATGGAGGTGGGCTGGTGTCAGCTGAAGGCAGAACACAGGGCTTCATGTCTTGGTCTTGACCATAACGGTGAGTGTATGAGCATTCAGTGTGTTTGGTTAGAGATTATTGTTGCAGCTTTTGTGTTTTGCAATAACTTGTGTGATGGGACCACGGGCACTGGTTGATGTCTCGGATGCTGCAGCACCACTGCACAAATCATCTACTGATGGAGCACGGTGGGAAACAGATTGGCACAGCAGGAACTGCAGCAGAAGGAAGAGGTAGATTTGGGACAGACATTAAGCAATGTTTTATTTCCTTTACAACACCCCACAGAGACCTCTGAAATGTGAGGTACCTTGGGGCAGACTCTGCAGGAGCCTGTTTCAGCCCTGTAGCACTCCTTGGTACTGTTCCTCTGGAAGTGCATTTGCTTGATGAGAAGCTGGTTTGCAAGAATGACTCCTTCATATTTTTGATGAAAATCTAGAGTGATTTAATTGCTGTCAGTTACATCATACTTATTTCAAAATAATTAGAAGTGAGAATAGAATTAGACCTACTTGTCTTTAGCAATGTCTAATAGAGGGGATGTACCCGTAAAAGCTGTGAGTCATCAACAGAAAGGAAACTTTACTGTAGCTTTTGCAAACATGCCAAGGTGTGTTCAGGTGTTAGGAAGGAAGTCACCATCTCGTCACTGAAGAGTTGGACAGTGCTCAGCTACTGAGGGTGGAGTGGGAATAGCAGTGACAGTGAATCAGGAAAACAGGGCAGGATTTGTGTTTCTGATCTTCCCCCTCTTTGCATAGACTGCCTCCAAACCTGAGGAATACCACTACATTTATTTCAATATTCATGTTTTTACCCTTGAATTGGCTTGCTAAATATTTTTTTTTTAAGTGTAACATATCACTGTGTGTTTAAGATAATGTTTTGGA